GTACATATAACTATATAAGTCATTGAACATTATTACTACTGTTATAGTAGATCTAGGTAGGTATCTATAGAAATAGTTATTATAAAATAAATTATTATGGTAGGCATTAGACAATCAGATCATAGGTATCAGCTCTTTAGTTTATTATAGATTTAAAAAATTAGTTGAAATTCAGAATTTTACTGTTAAAAATTACAGGGTTTTAAAAATGCAATCCAGGAGATCAGTTCGAAGAAAAATTCAAAAAGAGTTAGATTCTTTACAGTGTATTAAAATATGTACTGACAATAACAATGATTTCATCGAAAGAGAAGATAGCCTATTTGTCAATTCGCTTTATATCCCTTCAACTAGCACAGGAAGAAATTCTCAATCTATACAGGAAACTTCCATTTCTTCATTTCATGATGTTCCAAATATTGTAGAAATCAATGCCAATGAAAACTGCAATTTATCTAATGCAAATCAGTCTAATAATAATTCAATAAAAATACCTTCTAGTTATACTAAAGAAAGTACTAATAGTATAAGTTGTAGTAGTATTAAAGATGATTTATGTAAATGGATAATTGAGTGCAATGTTCCCCAAAGCACTGCAAATAAATTATTGTATTTGATGAAACAAAGGGAAATAATTAATACCAATGAGCTGCCTTGGGATACTCGGACATTGTTAGCTACTCCACGGTTAATATCAAGTATTCGTATTGTTGAACCTGGTCGATATTACCATTTTGGACTAGCATCAGGAATAATTCGACATGCATCCTCTAATATGACAGAAATTAAAATTATAATTGGTATCGATGGATTACCCATAGCTAAAAGTAGCAATAGTCAGTTGTGGCCCATTTTGGCATATATAAGTAATGATACAACTAAAACAGTTTTTCCTGTAGGTATTTACCATGGCTATACTAAACCTAAGGACAGCAATGATTTTCTTGTTGATTTTATATCAGAAGCTAAAGAACTTGTTACCAATGGTATTATTTTGAATAATTGTAATAAGAAAGTATCATTTGGTGCTTTTATATGTGATAGCCCTGCTAAGGCGTTTATACTAAAATTAAAGGGCCATTCTGGATTTTCATCTTGCACTCGTTGTATTCAAGTTGGAGAACATTATCTAAATCGTGTCTGTTATCCATATTGCAATTTTTCTACTAAAAGAACTCATGAATCATATGCAAGTAAGGCATTCGAAGAACACCATATTGGGAATACCCTATCAAGGCTCATTGAAATTCCAGGTTTAGATATTGTTACCATGTTTCCTCTTGATTACATGCATCTTGTGGCCCTGGGGGTTGTCAAAAAACTTATTTTACTTTGGTTACATATTGGGCCAGTACAAACACGTATTCAAGGCCGTAACATAAACATATTAAGTAATTCATTACTAAACATTAAACAATTCATTCCTATTGATTTTCCACGGAAAACTAGATTGATACAGGATGTTGGAAGATATAAAGCCAGTGAATTGAGATTTTTTATTGTGTATGTCGGGCCTATTGTGCTCAAAAATGTTATTATTGATAATTCATATACTAATTTTATGGCATTACATGTGGCAATGACAATATTGTTAAGTCCTGATTATAGTTGTTATTTGAACTATGCCAAAGAACTACTTCACTATTTTGTTAGAACGTTTGAAAATATTTATGGCCGGCAGCATATTTCACATAATGTTCATGGACTTCTACATCTCCCTGATGATTATATTCATTTTGGTCCTCTTGATAATGCCTCTGCATTTCCATTTGAAAATTATATGAAGGAATTAAAGAGTAAAGTCCGAAAACATGAAAAACCTTTGGAGCAATTGGTTAATAGATATGAAGAAATGTATAAGCTACCTGCCTCACTAGTAGTAAAACAAAAATTCCCAGTAATGTCTAAACAACATAAAAGTGGACCATTGATAGATAAAATTAAAGGATTAGAATTCAAAAAACTAACTTTTGATAAGTTTAAAATTAATACTTCAGTCATTAAAGAGAGTTATGTATTAACTAATAATAAAAAAGTCGTTAAATGTTTGAATTTTGTTAAAACCAATCAAGGCAGTATCAAATTAGTAGGAAAAGCTTTTGAGATAATGATTCCTCTATATAAAAAGCCTGTTGATTCTACAATTTTTGATATTTATATTGTAAAAAACCTTAGTAATAAATTGTCGTGTTGGGACTATTTAGATATAAAAAAAAAAATAATGTTAATTGAACATGAAAATAATTTAATTGCCATGCCAATTATTCATACTTAATTAAATACAATTATGTATAAAATTGTAAATGTTATTAATTATTATTTAAGAATTCTGTATATTATAACCTATAATACATAATACACATATATATTATATACCTAGTGATCATTAATTTCAATTTGTATTGTTAAGTATTTGAAATATTGTGTAGTACCTACCTATATATTATTAATCATATATAATTTCAAATATCACTATATAGGTAATATTTATATGTAATGTAATTGTACATAAATTAAATAACTAATTAAGATAAATAGGATGTATTGATTTAATATAATTATTAGTATTTAGAAAGTATGTTTTGGAGGTAATTCATATTTCTTAATAAAATATTGAATTTAGATTTCTTAAAATCATAATGTGGGTTGTTGTCCACTTTTTAAATGAGGACACAGTGGAAGCTGTTCCCGAAACATGGTACCGAAAAAAAGATAAGACATGTGCTTGGCCAATTGTATCAAAGAAGTCAAAAAAATGCATTGAAAAAAAAGATTATCCAGATGAAAAAAACTATCAGTGGTTACCTGCAAGGATGCTTGGTCGAAAGTATGGTAAGTAAAAATATTAATAGCAAATATTTTTAAAAATATATGTTTTTAAGGTGGCCACCAAAACTTAAATTTGTTTCTTTTTGTATTTTAGGATCTTTAGAAGAAGCAAGGATGAAGACAAACCGGGCACAATTCTACTCAGATTTGTCTGCAAATGAAGATTTAAATGCTCAACGTCTGTTAAAATCAAAAAGTAAAATGGAAAGTCCGCCTTCTTTAAGACTAAGTAAATTTGATTTTTAAGTTTAGTCTTCTAGCTAATCTCTAGGTGTTTTATTTAAATTTACTTTAGTTTGTAGTTAATAAATAATGTTATGTTTTTGTATGTACCTACCTAATTTTAATTTTTTAATTTTCTAGAAAAGATTAAAAAAACTGTTGAAAACACTGGTGGTTTTGACGATGAATCAGATATTGAAGATGGTCATGATTCTGATAAAGACCCTGACTATCATAAATCAATAAGTGTAAATGGTATGTATATATTTTGCCTTGTATTTTTCTATATAATTTGTGTTTTATATTATAATATTTATTTCAAACAAGTACACATATATTTATTTGTTAACAGATCCATCAGTATCACAAACAATGACTAATCATAATAACAAGTATGTTATGAATTCTCCTATTGGGAAAATTTCGATTGAGGAAACTAATCTATCCATTATGTCTTCTATGCCTCCTAAACAACCATTAATTGAATCCATTACTTTGCCATCACCTCAACGTTCAAACACTACACCATCATCAAATCTTAAAAAAAGAGTTTTATTTTCAACTGTTGGGTCCAAAGGTTCCATGTCCAACTATTGTTGTTAAAAAACGAACAACTGCAAAAAACGTTTTACCTCAAGCAAAAGCAATAGTCACCACATAATGATAAGCAGAATGACCTATTTATTTGCTTTAAAATCAATTGCTGTTATTTTTGTTCGGTAAATAATTATTGTTCTTTCGTATCACAATATAAATACCTAGTTTTTAGCCACTAGATAACGATCAAATCGATATTTTTTTTTGTATTATAATCAACGTGTAATAGTATCATTGATTTTACACATGGGTATAATAATGAATATTATACGTACATAAAATCAATTGTATTATAATTTATACGATATACACAATACCTATACATAATTATAAAGGTATAGGAAAACTATCTTATTGTATGCAACCATATTAGTACACTAGCAACCGCCATTATTATAGTATTAAACTAATGAAAATTAAATAAATAAAGTGCTTTAAGTTGAAATAAATGTACTCCAAATATTTTTATTTTAAAAACAAGAGAGTGGATATTTGTACAAAATATTATTATAAAATACCACTCTCCAAGAAGAAAAAAATTACTAGCTTAAACCGCAAAATCACTTGATCAACGTTTAACTTTACCCACCTTACTAATGGTAATGGATTGATTCGATTGTTTTCTCTAAATTATTCATTATATCACAAATGCTAAACAAAAACGGAACTTTTTGAAAGAAATGCTTGAATTTCTATAGTATTAATGATATGAGTGTAAATAATATGGTACCATTTAACTTTGACAGAAAAATAAGTGCACCTATATGCATGCGAATCATTTGCAAATATGGTTTAGCAATAATCGGACAATGGTTAAACATTATAATTTACACTGGTACAGTTTGGTGTCTTTATTACTTTTATATTTCTTCAGATTAGTTCATCGTGCTTAACTCTAAAATTTGTTAAGTTTTTTTTGGTAAAAATAAAATGTAATTTTGTTATGAATTTAATCAATTATTTCGCAACGATACCCAAGTACCTAATTAATAAATATTTACACATAATAGTTTAATTTAGAATAATATTAAGTTTAAATTGTTTTTAATATAGTAAGAGAAAAATAAAATCATTATATAATTGAATATATTTGTAAGCTCAAATAACTACTATAACATAGGAAGAAATAGAATGAAAATATTTTTTAAGAAAAATAATAATATTAAATACATTATTGAAAATAATCTTATTATTCATATCTTACATGGGAGATTCTGAGGGATCAAAAAAAAATAATTAACCATTTAAGTACTTATTAACAGAATCAACGTGACTGATAAATCATTATGAAATAATATTAAAATGTACTCAGTATAAATTATTAATATGTTTGTGAAAATTGTCAACATTTCACTTAGCTTTGGTTTAAAATCCCAATTTTTATTTCTGTATACATTAATCTTGGAGTTGTCTGAAAAAAACATCGGCAGTAAACGTAGAGTGCTACTTGATATTTTCTTCTCTGCACAGAAAAACATTAATTATATATTACTATTTACTATAGATATATTTGTACAAGTATGGTAATATATGATGTATCAACGAGGTTGTTATGAAAATGTAATTATATTATGGATCGATTACGAAAAATCCGATTAAAAAAAAGTTGTATCCAGATTTTGGCGAGTCCGTTTTTTTTTGGTTCCTATGGTATGGTAGCGTAATTATACTATTCATCGGTTGCTGACTGCAAACTAGATAGGTACTGTGACTTGAAATTATACCGTTTTAATTTTAAAATTGTACAGCGAAAAATCCATATCAATTATGAAAAAAAATTGTTGTATCCAGCTCAATAACATAAAACATATTATGTTAGTAAAATCATTTTTAGTTATAAAAAAATGAATACTATAAATTTGTTATTATTTATATATTTATTGAATAAAAGATTTATGGGGAATTTTTACCATCAGGCATTATTTTATTGTTGGTAGGTATTTTTTTATGTAATATAGGAAAAATAATTTTTAGTGTCAGTGCGTGGCAAATGGCAATACATTATGTTAACTGATAAAGACGTTTAAAAAACGATAAAGGTTACTGAGAGAACGGTATATTATATTCTCTATCATATATTAATACATTAATATATTAGTATTGTTAAAAATCGTAACTTATGCCTTTATAAGTATGATAGTATGCAGAATAAGTGAAACTAAGCATAAAGGTTATTATTATTAAGAATAGTACTCATGTAAATTAAAGTAAGTTTTAACAGTACACTCTCAAAAAAAAATAATAATAACTTAAATCAAAATGCTGATTTTGCAAAAAAGTTTAGAATAAATGTAATTGCATATTATCCTTAGCTCTCTCATTCTTATGTTTGTTGGTTAAACTACCTACAACTTTTGATTTTTAAAAGGCAACATCATATTTTGCGTCTCCTATATTTTGAAATAAATTATTTTTTCTACATAATATGTTGATGTACTTACCTATATAAATATTAAATACAGAAGAAATAGTTGTCTTCCTTATTTTTAAGAATTTAAACTTTGGCTGAGACATATAGTACACCACAAATAACTGTTCATGTCATCCCTTACAAAGTTACTTTACAACTCTTATCTAATTATGAAATGTTTTTTTATTAATAAATAACCCAACAAAAATATAAATATTTTTCAACTTCTGATAATTATTTATCTGGTGATTTATACCAATATACATATTTTGTACATATGCTTATATTGTAAGAGGTCTAAGGTTACCTTATTTTCTTGTTTAAATTTAATTCTACCATAAATGTAAAAAAATAGTTATCCAATAAATGTTTATCTGAAGTATAACATTGTGGTGGTATTCAGCAAGATGTCAATCGTTAAAAAATATATCGTTTTATATTGGGTTATTTAATTGGTATTATGTTTTAGTACAAATCATGTATTAACTATATACAGAAATAGAAAAATGTATTAACTTCCGGTTTTTATTTACGGAGACATTATAATATAATAAAAGTATATAAAAAAGTATGATTCAATAATTTATTGGAAAGTAAAAGTATGTAAAATCGTCTGATTATATTTAAAAAATAATTAATTCAAACCGCACATTGGATATATTCAGTAACAGAATATGAAACAATTATTTGTAATCGGCCAATATTTACCAATGTATTAAATAACGATATTTTGTCCCTCGACACATAAATGTGGTTATAAAACATATTTTAGTTTCCCTCAGAAAAAAGCCTAAGTTCATTATAACACCGACACTACTATTCGAATTTCTTTATCAGCTATTATTTTTTGTTAAGTTATGAAACGGAGATGATGATGTTCTTTTTCGTCTTTTTTCATCTTCATCCACTATAAGAATTTACCTATTTTAATGATGACTCATGTTTCATATACTAACTGCAATCGAGTGTCTTTTATACAAAGTACACAAACCTGAAGAAAAAAAACAGTTCTGATAATACTATTTATTTATTTAATATTATTATTAGTAATTAATTTTACCATGGTATATAATATGATGTTGTAATAAACCATAATGAATCTTTATTGAAGGGAATAATAGGTACTCTCATAATAAAAGGTGGATACACACACAAAAATTAAGAAATACATGTCAATCTAATTTCATATCTATTGGAAATAATATTCAATTTAATAATTGTATATTATATAATATGTAAGGATTCTCAGGATTTTTACAATAAATAATGTTATATAATCGAATATACGTATCAGATATTATAAATGAATTTTATTGTAATTATTTCATTGCAATTGTTTTGGCTTGTCTTATCCAATAATAATATTAATTTTTAAAATGTTGAATATTCTGGGCAATGATTGTAAATTTTTATTTTAATTAAAGTACCTAATTTAACCAATTTAATTTCATGCCACTTGAAAATTATTACGTTTAATACAATTGAAAAATATAATTTCAACGAAATAACAAACATATTTTAACGAACAAATTAAATCGTTTGGAATTTAATGATGGTCTAAAATGTGCTTCAATTGGTTGAGAGAGACTTGAATATTTTTGTAAATGTAAATATCATCATCGGGTAACAGCAAAAAACAATGACCCATAAAAAATAATGAACTGTGACTGTACACTTTAAGGCGTAAAACCTTGGGAACCAAAGAGATGGCAGTAGAAAAGTTGAAAGATAATATAAGAAATGAGTTTATTATTTTAATGTTATGAGTTAAAATACTGCTATATTTTTCGACGAATCGAAATATTTAGTAACAATATTTAAATAGTAAATTGTGAACGACACATTAAAAATTGGTTGTGTTAACATGTTTAGAATTATACAATATTATATTTTATTATGTTTTATTTCATGCTATAATTTTGTTTTATTTTTATTGATTTTCGAACATTGGTTCATCGTTGAAGATGAATGAATGATTACTAAAAAAAGTAAAATATTTTCTAATAAAAAAAAAATTTATGTTTTTCTCAATTCTTTACTTTCTGATTTGGGTAAAAGATATTTTGACATTGATCGATTGTTTGTGAATTTGTCTTAAATATTTTGAACTTTCTTAGAAATTTAGACTTTTGAGTGTAATACAAAACAAAATTAAAAGTTATGCACGAGTCAAATTATATACTGAATAACAAAGATATTATGTAATGACACTCTAGACGTAGATCAGTCAGTTTATGAAACTACAAAGTGACTTAGTTCCTGAGGAATAATTGTGTAGCTTCAAGTTATAGAACTGTCATTCAGCAATAATTTTTAACTAATTCGTAATTGAAATAAAATATTTTGAGTTATTATAGTGCTCTTATACATAATATAGTTTAAATAAGTTACATTTTTTGTAAATTTTTTTTTTAATAATATTAATATCAAGGTAGCCTATAGTTGTAAGTCTATAATAATAGTTTAACTAGATACCACAATATAATTATTGAAGATTATCAATTAGAAACTGCGATTCATATAAGAAATATTGTTCGTAGTAATTATGCCAACATATCGTTGAAGAAATAAAATTATATCATGGAAATATGAAATTAACATAAGATGCACGAATTAGTATATATCTATAAAATATAGTAATTATTATATAATTATATAAAATCGTTGACTATTTGGAGTAAATGCTTAATGCACTTGAGATTAAGGTCTAATGCTATATTATTGATAAATAAAAGTAGAGAAAAAATATAGTTATTATAAGTGCAAAGGATTGATTTTAAATGGTCTATGTTTGGAGGTTGAACGTGAATTTATAATCAACTATAGTTGAACTTGTTATTATTTTATCTCAATCTTACAGTTACTAATAAAGTAATAAATCAACTTATTAATAAAGAATAAAACAATTCAATAAACTCTATAAAAAAGAATTATCATCCAATATGATTTATATATTTTATGAGTTATAA